GATTGATCAAGTTCAAACTTCACACACACATGGTACATCATGTCACAAATAGATATGTGCATTTGTTTCATGATCTGCTTAACAATAGCGGAATGATGGCCATTTTAAGGCCGAAAATGCATCAAAATCACGTATTTTCACAATTCCAGAACCGGATCTCAGTCATGCATGGATGGATTTTGTTCAGATTTAGCACAATGTGTTGTACATATGCAGGTGCATTTCGGTCATGATCTGCTTTGAATGTATATGTCACTCAAATATGAACGGAACGGGGACGTGTCATTGACAATGACTTGTTTTCACTGGGTTTATATTTCGATGATTTGCCATTTCAGGCATATTCAGTGGGTTTTGAATTCACGGTTTTATCATTTAGAAAATGTTCTATGCTAAATTGTACATATTCACTGGGTTTTAATTTAGCGCATTTTCCAGTCAGGGAAATAAGCAAAATTAAAACCCAGTGAAAAATTAATCCTCTTACAGTATATACCCGGTAGTAAAATGAACAATGAAGTGGAATCAGGCGTTCATGAGTTACGTGACTGATTTATTTGGAATACCTGAAATCCCAACATGCAACACATTTTTGAATCTTGCAAGTATGAAATGTTCCATGTTCGCTTGGACGCAGTGGCAACGAATGATAGGAAATCTCATATATTTAGGAAACAAATGACAGAACAACAAATCACTAATAAGAGATGTCAGTTTTCTGTGCAAATTTGATGGACTTGGTGATGACCTATTAGATGCTGAAAACTCAACCACAACCAAATCTACATAAATGCTCTGCAATGTTCCGCTGTTTGCTAACATTTTTGACCCAGATTTCTTACGAATAATATAAATGTTGCATTTATTATATACTACTTCATAATACAACTTTAAAGTAAAATTAAAAATACAAACTAAAATGTACATTACAACATTTACATTTAGAAATACAATAAAAATCTCTATACACTGATTTCTGTAGATGTTCCAGTTTTATTTAATAAATTTGGCTTGTCAGTAATATAATCATTTTCTTTTATAAAACCAATACTTACAATAATGCATGACAGTAAAGTTCTTTGTGTAGAACTGCTAACAGGAAATATTCCCTATTGTCTGTGTTGTGTACATGTCTAATATGTCTAATACTTTTTGTTACATGAAATAAAAAATATTTAAAAAAAAAAATTTATGTACGATTGAAATTGAAATTCAGGCCTACACTCAGATTACCCACTAATATTTAGAAACTCAGAATGGCAGTAAAACTATCTAAGCATTCACAACAACTTTGAATTTGACGTCACTCATGTGTATGATTATAATTTCGAATTGATCTTAGCGTTGTCCAATCAGGACTCATCACTGCGTATAAAGTATACTACAAGAAAGTGACCCAATATTGAATTACAATCTCTTGTTTGAATTTTCTTTTATAAATATTTACAAAATATAGTGAAACACATCCATTCAAAATGAATGTATGTCTCAATATTTAATTTGGCAAATGATATTAACCTTTAACTTATCTGTGATTTAGATGTGTTATTCAGTTTCAGGGCCTTGGGTGGTTCACATCACATAATAATGCAGTGGATAAAATATGACAGATACTGTATTTGTTCTGTTAAAAGTGCTTATTATTTGAGCTATTTTCTTTATTTATATAATTTTATGTTTTTTAATCACTTCAAGAATTATATTGGATGAGAAATTGAACAGAAGCCATTGTTTTATATGATTGCACCTTTGATGGAGACAAATATATCTGCCTACACGATCTCCATTGAAGATGTATGTCTCTAATAGAGTACATTATTTCCTTCCGACAGAGATGAAATAGTTAAAAATTACTATTTTTGTTGTAGGCTTGTCGGAGAATGAAGTACTTTCCTCCAGATGAGCGGATCATGACTACAGTAAGTCATTTTTATTAAAAAATCCCATCTTTTACTTACAATAGTTTGGAGATATTATATGTAGGTACCTTTGGTAGACATCTCTCAGATTTATCAGTTTATACAAATTACCAATCAAACATCTACAGTGGTGTGATTTATTTGATTTTGACTTGCTCTCTCAAACACAGCTTTATTTATGGATCTATTAGTATGTTTTGGTATCTGGTAAGGCTAAAATTTTCAAATGCAAGTACCGATACTTCTCAAAAAGTGTAAGCTAAATGCAAATATTTGCAATTGTAACAATCACAACATGTCTTTAGGCATATTTGCATGTAGGTTATCCTAACTTCCTGGGCTTCCTAGGTTAATATTTACCGGGTAATAGTGTTAAACAGCACACAAATCCACAGTGAATGTTAGTCATTATTGCAAGTCACAACAAAGGCTGTCACTTTATTGTTTTCTGTCATTTTTTTCTGGTTAGCTATTTGAAAGTTTGAATAAAAGAAATTGGAGTATTAACCCAACTAGTTTTGGAATATGTTATATGTATTTCTATCCTATTTTGAATCCAAAATATCCGCTGGATTAAGACTTGGGGATATGGCTTTAACGGGAAAAATGGGGGGAAAATCATTGTTCCCATGAAATCATGTTCAGGTATCGCTTCTATTTATTTGCAATTTTAAATTCATTTGATGGAAACTTGTACTCAGCAAAATAAAGTTACAAGCATGCAGCCTTTAGTGCTATTATGTAAAATGTTCACATTCAATTTGCAGGTGAAGATGACTAGGTGTTTATATGGTCAGTTATTACAACAACGTTTCCAACCGGATAAATCGAGTGGGTGGAACCTTCCATCTGAGTCAAATCCCATTCACAGATCACATGATATGGGCATGAAACTGGTAAGATCATAACATGAAAATTATCATCTGACCAATTGTAATGTACTGTGATTACAATGTAATGTATTGTGATTATAATGTAATGTATTGTGGTTGTAATGTATTGTGATTAAAATGTAATGTATTGTGGCTGTAATGTATTGTGATTACAATGTAATGTATTGCAATTACAATGTAATGTATTGTGATTACAATGTAATGTGTTGTGATTACAATGTATTGTATTGTGATTACAATGTAATGTATTGTGGTTGTAAAGTATTGTGATTACAATGTAATGTATTGTGATCACAATGTAATGTATTTTGGTTGTAATGTATTGTGATTACAATGTAATGTATTGTGGTTGTAAAGTATTGTGATTACAATGTAATGTATTGTGATCACAATGTAATGTTTTGTGGTTGTAATGTATTGTGATTACAATGTAATGTATTGTGGCTGTAATGTATTGTGATTACAATGTAATGTATTGTGATTACAATGTAATGTATTGGGATTGTAATGTATTGTTATTACAATGTAATGTGTTGTGGTTACAATGTATTGTATTGTATTGTGATTATAATGTAATGTATTGTGGTTGTAATGTATTGTGATTACAATGTATTGTATTGTGATAACAATGTAATGTGTTGTCATCACAATGTAATGTATTGTGGTTGTAAATGTATTCTGATTACAATGTAATGTGTTGTGATTACAATGTATTGTTATTACAATGCAATGTGTTATGATTACAATGTAATGTATTGTGATTACAATGTAATGTAT